ATAGCGGGGTCAAATGGGACTTCCAGTCCTAGTTCTTTGAGGTATCTCTATACGGATTTCCACAGTGGTTGCACCAGTCTGCACTCCCACCAGCAGGGGAGCAGGGTTCCTCCTTCCCCACTGGGCCGGAACTTTTGATCCTCCTGCCTCAGGCTCCCAGAGTGAATAGCACTCAGCCAGAGCTAGTCAATCTTTAATATAATTTCTCTGAGTTTGACTTTGATTGTTTCTTTATTGTGGATCAGACTATACAGTCTCTTAGTATTTTTTTAGTCTTAAAATTCATTGACAGCTGGCAGATGCTTGAAGAAGAAGACCTAAAGTTCGGCATAGCAGAGAAGAACTTGAGCTCTTAGGTTGCTAGAGAAGCAGTAGAAGGTACTGTACTGGATAATAGCTGTTTATTTCTGTTTTTCCTCTCTTCCTGAATCATTTCCGTACAGCTGAACTAATAGAATTTTAGCATTGGAAGAGATATTGAAGGCCATTTAACATACAACTTTCCCTCCAATTATAGAAGTCCCTTCAGTAATATTTTTAGTAAATAATTTTCCATACTTTGTTTAATTATTTCCAACAATGAAGAACTCGGTGGTTTTTGAGATAATGCATACTTTTGTTAAGTAATTTTTAGTTTGAAAATAATTCCTTTTACTGAGCCAAAATATGTATTGCTGTACTCCTACTTCTCAGGATAGATCCTGGCTCGATTCACAGGGAGTAAGTGTATGTAAGGACATAATTTACTGGTTGGAAATAGTTTCTCTACCTTCTTGCTTCTCTCCCAGCTCTTTTCTTCATTAGGTTAGACACCAATTTATTTACCTGTTCCTTTTGCATTGTTCTAGTCTTTGGGAAAAATTAATTCATTAAAATAAGAATTATTTGGAGCTGGGGGTGCTGGTGCATGCTACTCAAGAGGCTGACGTAGGAGGATCGAAAGTTCAAGGCCAATTTGGGGAACTTTGCAAGACTCTGTTTTATACTAAAAACATAGGCCAGTGGGTGTTTCTCAGTGGTAGAGCACTCTGCGTTCTATCCCCAGTATCACACAGAAGGAAGGAAGGGAGGGAAGGAGGCAAGGAAAGAATTCTTGGGAATTTGTTTCGTGTTTGCTGCTGGTTTAATATCCATGTGTAGTGTGTTTTCAGCTTTACATAATCAAATAACTTAAAAGGAATGGAAGGTTTTCTTTTGATAGTTTCAGGTTGCAAATACACAAAGAATAAAATGATAAAATAAATTTGTTGGGTGAGTAGTTTACAGTAGGAGGAATAAACATCTTTGACTCTATCTGCTCTGTCATCTCTCAGTCTAACGCTACAGGATAATTATACTTCCTACTTCTTGTGAGGAAAAGAGAATATCTCGTCCTGGAAAAATTACTATTTTTGTTTTGCTTTTGTGAGGTTAGTAGAAAAGAATGACAATGATTATTTTAAGTAGACCTTTAAATATTTTGGTCAAATACAAGTAAGATATGGCTTATACAAGTAAAATACAGTTCGTGATTTAGCCCTTTCTCTGTGTAATACACCGTAGCATGGCAGTTGGAAATATAGTATTAAGTGGGTCATACATACATATATCAAATTCAGTCCATTTTGTGTTCTTTGGAGTACAGTTGTACAAGCCTTTTGGAATCACATGGCAGCTGATTTGAAGTCAAGGGGTTTTTTTTTCCCACTGAAGAAAATGATGTATTACTGTCTTTCTTTTTCCTCATGGAAACATTTTAAATATCTAGTGTTTTTCTAAAAGGAAGTTTTAAAGCCACTTTGATAGGGATTACACATTTTATTGGGGCATTTTGGCTAATGCTATCATATTTTTGTTTAGTATCATAATTTAAGTATCATCCTTAATCACATTCATTTTTATTTTATTTTTAACTAAGTTTATTTTTTTAAATTTTAGTTTATTAGTACATGTGTGTAGTACATAATGTTTGCATTCCTTGTGGGAAGTGAAATTGGTACATGTACATAATACATCTTAATTCTTTTTCATCCCTTTTCCCTTACCTTCTTCCTCTTTCCACTCATCTCTTTTTTTTTCCCCACTCATCTCCTGATCCGCAATCCTTTTCTTTTTCTTTCTTTTCTCCTTTCTTTTGGGTAGATATTTGCAGTACATGATGTTTAGCACCTGTCCGTAAGAGGGCCCAATTCCTTTTTCATCCCTTGTCCTTTTCCTCCTCCTTCCCTCATCTCTTCATCCCCTTCCCCTTTGAGAACAACCTGTCTCCCTGCTTCATATTACCTGTGTTTTACTTTGCTCTGTATTTTTACTCATTTAAGAGAAACCATATGATATTTAAGCTTGTGTGTCTGATTTATACATTATGGTCTCAAGGTGCATCCATTTTCCTAAATGACTCAAGTTTATCTTTCTTTATGGCAGAGTAGTACTCTGTTGTGTATAAGTACCACATTTTTATTATTCATTCATCTGTTGATGTCCATATGGGCCACTTTGAAGATTTAGCTGTTACGAGTTGTGCTGCTATAAACATGGGCATGTATGTAGCAATGTAATATGATATCTTTAACTCTTCATAGAAGATACCTAGAAGGGCAATAGCTGAATTAAACGGGATTTCTATTTTTAATTTTTTGAGGAATCTCCATACTGATTTCCATAGTAGTTGTACTTTTATTCCCACCAACAATGAAGAAGTGTCCTCCTCCCCTGCCCACAGGCTGTCCAACATTTGTAATTGTTTGGTTTCTTGAAGGTAGCCATTCTCTCTGGAGTGAGATAGAATTTTAGTGTTGTTATAATTTGCATTTCTCTAATGGCCAGTGATGTTGAGTATTTTCTCATATATTTATTGGCCATTTGTACTTCTTTTTTTTTTTTTTTGGTACCAGGGATCAAACTTGGGACCTTGCGCTTGTGAGGCAGGTGACGGAACCACTGAGCTAAATCCCCGGCCCTGGCCATTTGTACTTCTTTTTTTTTGTACTTCTTTAATCACATTAATTTTTGTTTGTTTTGAGACAGGGTCTCAACTATGTGGTTCAGGCTGGCCTTGAACTCACAGAGATCCTCCTGCCTCAGCCTCCTGATTACGGGCTGGGATTACAGGCATGTGCCACTATACCTGGTCACATTAATTTTTATAATATTCATTATTGTCTGGTTATACAGCTTATTCATAGACAACATAAAAGAAAACTATATCCCTGGGGGCCAGGGATTTAGCTCCGTGGTGCTGCGCCTTCCTCACAAGCACAAGGTCCTGAGTTTGATTCCTACTACTGGGGAAAAAAAAAAAGAGCATGTCCCTAACACTTTCCTGTAAACAGTGAGTATGTAATTTTTCTAGCTGTTTTTTCTAAGCTTTTTCTATTTTAGAAACATTTTTCTATTTTAGAAAAATAAGTCATTATTTTTGAACCCTAGAAAAGCTAGTAAGTAAATTATGTCAGAATTTTTTGTGTGTATAATTTAGTGATCTACTTACTTTCATTTATATTTTCCGTAAGTTTCTGCTCACTAACTTTTTTTTTTTTTTTTTTTGGTGCTGGGGATTGAACTCAGGACCTTGTGCTTTAAAGGCAGGCACGGCACCACTGGGCTAAATCCCTGGGACTCTACTCACTAACCTTTATTCTGTTTAATATGTGTTGGGGATCTTTGGTTCTTGTCAAAAAAGTTTCTTAAAATCTTATTGGTGTTAGTGTTGGAACAGTGGTTCTCAGAGTGTGGTTCAGGTTTTCCTGGAGGTCTCTGAGACCTTGTCACAAAGTCCCTGAAATATAAGCTGTTTTCACAGTAGTTCTGAAATGTTACTTGCCCTTTCAACCCTCATTCTCATGAATCTCCAGTGGAGTTTTCTCAAGGCTTCATGGTGTGTTCTGATGCAACAGTCTGAAGACTGAGAGAGTACAAATATAGCCAGTTTCTGTGAAGCCTAACACAAAGAGATTGCAAGAAGAAAACAGCATCACTCTTCTCAATAATTTGTTTCTGTTTTAGAATATACTTCCCAAAAAGTTATTGTTGCAGTGAATTTTTTTTTTTGGTACCGGGGATCGAACTCAGGTCCTTGCGCTTGTGAGGCAGGCAGTGGAACCACTGAGCTAAATCCCTGGCCTGAGTTACTACATACTTTAACATTTCTGTCTTAATTTCTGATATAGTAAGTATTAATAGCTATAACCTACAAAAAAGAAAGCTTTTTAGGAGCCCCAGTAATTTGTCGCTATGTAAAGAAGCCCATGGACCACAAGAACTGATCAGAAACCGCTTGGTTAGGAAGAGACTGACGGAGATGTTTCTTATACCGCTCTACTTGGGCGTCGTGTCCCTGGTTAGCAGTCACCCTTCTTCCTTTGTTTTACAGATACCAAGAGATTTAAAGTTCTATTTCTGTCCCAGATTCTTCCCTGAAAGTAAGAAGCGTCCGTTTTCCAAAAATAGCAATTCTTTGTTTTTTTCCTTTTTAGATTTGATGGTAGAGTGGTGGCAAAGCTCCCTTTCACCCCACTTTCCTACATCCAAGGCCTGTCTCATCGAAACCTGCTGGGAGATGACACCACAGACTGTTCTTTTATCTTCCTCTATATCCTCTGTACCATGTCAATTCGACAGGTGAGTGCCATAGCTATATCCCTCCCTGCTTGCCTTTTACTTCTGTGATGCTAGAAATGTACATCTGCTGCTCCTGAGATCTTGCTGTTGCTGGTTGTAGAATTCCAGTGTATAATCCTAAAGCTATTTGTTTGGTTGGTTTTTTTGGTACTGGGGATCAAACTCGGGACCTTGCGCTTGCAAGGTAGGCACCAGAACCACTGAGCTAAATCCCCGGCAAAGCTATTTTAAAAACATAAAAATGTACATGACTAACCCCTAGGGCTGAGAGGTTACAATAAAACCAAACACATGGTTTCCACACTCATTCTTACAGCCCTTGAGTTCCTTCTTTGTTGCATCCGTCTAAAGCTAAAAAAGTAAGAATGGATTTGTTTTCCCACTGTCCTTTCTTCATTGTACACCAGTGCCTTTGGGAGTTCAGGAGCACCAGTTATTTGGCAATTTTAGGTTAATCACAGTTGAGATAAAGTCTGGGTTAGGGTGTATTTTCATCCGGCTACCTTGATTGATGAACACTCATGGTGAAGAACAGTGAGAGCAAAGAATGGCAGGTTAAGAGTCCAGAGGTGAGACCCAGCATTGCATAGGCAGGGACGTTCCCAGTGTGAGGTCGCTCTGGAGATGGGGCTGTAAACAGGACAGGAACAGGTGAAGTCTTTAGAGAATTACTCAGTTTCCAGAGTTAGAAACTGGACTGCAGACGTTTGTGCTTGCACTAAGTAGGACATAATTCTTTCAATATTTATTACACCAGTGACTCTTTCAGAGTCGCCTTTTCCCCCCTTCTGAATACTGTCTGTGGCGATGGATTTCTGGTTAGTCTGGCGTGTGAGAATCAGTGAGGAGCGAAATGATAGTTTATGGCTCAGAAGGATTGTATTGCTGTGTGTTTTTCTCAACTCATATCTCATCACATCCCACGAATGCAGCACTCTGGCCACTCTGACACTCTGACCTGCGTCATGATGTTCTTTTGGGTCCTTTTTTCCTTCTCTCCTGATGATGTCTGCCTCTTCTATTAAATACAATCTTGCCTCAAGACTTCCTGGAATCTTTTTTTTTTGTGTGTCCGGGATCGAACTTGGACCTTGTGCATACAAGGCAGGCGGCAGCACCACTGAGCTCCCCGGCCCTCCTGGAATCATTTTCTGACACTGAGGCATAGATATAAGAGGAGCATGACTAAATGCAGAAATATCAGAAGACTTATAATAATCAAGCCAAAAAACATGTTCCACACTGTAACGGTGGTGAGCGGGATAAAAAGGAAGAGACGAAATGAAAACTACACTGGAGGTAACACCAGCGGAACTTAGTGATTGATTTCATGTGAGGGAAAGGGAGAAATGAAAATGACTGCTAGGTTTCTGGCTTTGTGACCAAGGAGAGGGTGGCTTGACCGAGAGGGTGGGAGAAGAAAGGAGAGGAAGTTGGTTAGAACATGCACAGAGTTGGCAGTGGTTATGGAGCACTTACCTGGGATCCCCACCAGGAAGTTGCGCTCTTGGTAGCTGAGGTCCTTTTGAAAATGTCTCTGTAGTGGACCTTATTCAGATGTGAGAAGCAGGGCAGTGACAACACAGAGGACACTCTGGGTTTACCGGACATCTTTGGATCTAAATTTTCAAATTGTAGCTTGTGTTGACATCTTGAAACACAATGATGTATAGTTTTTACTTTAAGCAACAGAGAGCTATTTTAAGCCAGGTGTGGTGGTGCACACCTGTAATGCCAGCACTCTGAGACATTGAGGCAGGAGGTTCTAATCCAGCTTGGGCAATTTAGTGACATCTTGCCTCAAAAAGAAAAAAAATGTAAACAGTGCTGGGGATGTAGCTCAGTACTAAGGCCCTGGGTTCAATCCCTAGTACCACCAAAACAAAACAAAAAACCTTTTATTTTTTTGGTACCGGGGATCGAACTCTGGTCCTTGCACTTTCGGGCAGGCAGTGGAACCACTGAGCTAAATCCCCGGCCCAGAAAACCTTTTTAATTCCATGTAGATTTTAGGTAGCTCATGGTAGTCATTTTAGATGTTATGTACATTGCAGTGGCTCATAGTCCCAGCCCTGGGGGCGGGGGGGTGGGGGCTGAGAAAGGAAAATCGCCTCAAGTTCAAGGCCAGCTTGTACTACGAAAGGAGACCCTATCTCAAAAAGCAAAACAAAGCAAAAAAAAAGAAGAAGAAAAGGAGATGCATGTTAAGAATTATCATTTAGGAAGCTCAGCTCGAGTTGGTTTTGACACTCATTTCAGTTATTTCAGGAAGTATATATCTAGTAGTTGGTTTTTTCAGGAATGTAGCACTCACAATGTGGGTCAAGAAGCTTCTTCTGTGAGGGTCTAGATAGTAAATCTTTTAGGATTTGTGGACCACAGAATCTCTATCTTTACTATAAAACTCCACCATTATAATATGAAAGCAGCTACAGAGAATATGTAAAAAGGTGTAATTCCAGAACTCAGGAGGCTGAGGCAGGAGGATTGCCTGGAGTTTGAGGCCAGCCTGAGCTACATAGTGAATTCAAGCCCAGCCTGAACTTCAAAGCAAGACAGTGTCTCAAAAAAACCAAACGAGGGCCGGGGATTTGGCACAGTGGTTCCGTCACCTGCCTCGAAAGCGCAAGGTCCCGAGTTCAATCCCCGGTACCACAAAAAAAAAAACCAAAAAACCAAACCAAACCAAAAAACTAGGAGAAGGGGTCAGGCACACACACACATGAAAATTCACACTATTTCAGCCAAGGATATATAATAATCACTGAAATGACCTGCACATAAAGGACTGATAAATTCAAGAGATAAAGAAGTGCATGTGCATATGAGTTAATAAAGTGTTCTTCAAAAAAGATTTTTGCAATATGCTTTCTATATCCTTTTAAATTCTGTAAAATCTGTGGTAATGTCCTCTAAATTTTGATATTGTAATTAAAACAATGTATAATTGATAATGTGAAATAGGAAGAAAAGGTCTAAAGGGGTAGGGGAATTGGGAGGGGTAGGGGAAAGGAAAGCTGGGAAAAGAAAAAAAACTGGAAACAAAGTCTTTGCAAACAGGGAAGGGTGGAGGAGGTGAAGGGAGGGCAGGGGAAGGGGAAAAAAATAAGAACCAAGATACTCATGTAACGGTACAAGATCCCAATGATGAACGTAACTGTATTTTACACCTAAAATGTACCAATAAACTTAATGGAAATTTTCGTTTCTCTAATGGTCAGAAAAATAAAATAAAATAAAGTGTTCACAGTGTTAACCAGGATCTACTTCTTTATTACACTTGAGCCACTGGATAATTAAAGCAGCCAGCGCTCGTCCTTTCATGAAAATTATGTCCTTAATAACCAGGCCTGGTGGCTCACGCTTGCAGTCCCAGCACTCGGGAGGCTGAGGCAGGAGGATCACCACAAATTAGAAGCCAATCTGGGCTACGTAGTGAGTTCAGGGCCAGTCTGAACTACATAGGGAGACCCTGTCTCAAAACAAAACAAAACAAAATAAACAAATACGATTGTTTTCCAAGCTGTATCTTCACTTCTTGAAAATCATTTCAAATATAGGGGTGTTGAGTACATTTTAAATTATTTCTGTTATACTAATCATTTATGAAAGAAGCAGATTAAGCAAAGTTGAAATTTTACATCTAATCAAAAACGGTATTATGATGTATTCCTAATTCACATAGGTATATGTGAGTGTAGTTCTCATCTGTTGTGCATTTTTTCCAATTCTATTATGTTATTGATTATATGACTCATCATTGAGTTTAAGAGCTTTCAAGGAAAAGCAGAAATAATACTACACACATTAGACAGTAGATTTTAAGACACATTCCTGCCTCAGAAACCTTAAAGTGGTGGGAAGAGAGGAGGAATAGATTACAAGGTTAAGGAAACCCACTACATAGAAGTAGAACATCTAAGTTTGAACCTTGTTGCCTCTTACTGGCAGGATCCTCTGTGAGCCTCAGTTTTTACAAAGGTGAAATCAGGCTTGGGGTATAATTTCTCCATACTGGCCAAGCGTGGTGCTGCATCCCTGTAATCCCAGCAGTTGGGAGGCTGAGGCAGGAGGATTCCTGTGAGTTTGAGGCCAGCCTGGGCTACATAGTGAGTTCAAGAATAGCCCGCACTACAAAGCGAGAACCTGTCTCAAAAATAAAATAAAACAAAATTTCTCCATAATGAGATAATCAGATAGCAATAATGTAGAAATATTAAATAAAAATTTTTTTAAAAGAAATATTATGAGTTGGTTGGGTTTTTTTTTTTTTTTGGTACCAAGAATCAAACTCAGGGTCTTGTTGTTGCTAGGCAGGCGCTACATCCCTGGCCTGAGTTGGTTGAGGTTTTTTTTTTTTGGTACCGGGGATCGAACTTGGGTTGTTCGTTCCGCTTGGAGGCAGGTGGTGGAACCACTGAGCTAAATGCCTGGCCCTTGCCTTGGTTGTTTTTACAGTCACACTTAAAACAAATCAGCCAATCCTCCCCAACACACACACACACACCCTTTCGGGGTGTTTTTAAGTTAGGGTTTGTCTTCCAGCCCCAAATAGAAATATCAGTTGTAAATAAATCTTAACTACCTTTTCCCATTTTACCTTTTTCTTGCTTCCTTTTTTTTCTTTTGGTTTTTTGAGACAGGGTTTCACTGTGTAGCTCAGGCTAGCCTGGAACTTGCATTGATTCTGAGTGCTGGCATCATGATCACAGGCAGGCATGCACTACCATGCCTAGCTTATCTTTTTATCTTTTGTTATTACTCCTTCATGTTTAGTGATTAGCTAACTGTTTTCTTTGTGTGTTTCCCAGCAAAAGAAATGGTCAGTTAGCCAGTTTCGCAGAGAGGTGTTACCTTAGTGCAAGGTTGCCATGGAATTCAAGAATGAAAAGGAGCTGGGAGTGGTGGCTGATACCTGTAATCTCACAACTCTAGGAGGCTGAGGCAGGAAGATTGCAAATTCAAGTCCAGTCTGGCTAATTTAGCAAGACCCTATCCCA